ATACTCGACTTGAATCTAAAGTACCCTTATGTTCATAGTAACCAGCTTTACATTGATGTAATTATATATAGCTGTGGAAAGTGACCAACAACACATATTAGCGTTGCAAAATGTGATTGTCTCCAGTTGAATCTGGTACATGTTCATCAATGTTATTTCCACTTCTTGAAGTGAGAAGCTGTGGATCACTGATTTAGGCAGTTGACTTAAGACGAGTCAACCACGAGTTCAAATCCCGTTAGGCTTCTCAGGATGTGGTGTCAGCTGGTATCAACAGCTTTTACTCAACAGATGTGTGTTTGCCTATTACGTGAATGTATCTATGGTTGTTGAATGAATTTCAATTATCTTATCACGTAGCTTGAAATGACATTGAACTATACCAAAACTTGTTCAAACTTTAATGCCAATATGACCAGTATATCTACAAAGAATCATCTGGTTAAGTTCTTTAATCAATACGACAAGGATCGTTATGCACATCGTGTCCATTCATAATGTTTATCACCTCGAACTAGCGGGCATTCATTCATCTTTTATCTCATTCTCACTAGTGAGTTTATCGGACAAAAAAATGTTGGTCATATTTGCTGATAACACTACCAAATCATATTTTAAGAACACAGCAGTAAATCATAAATCTTCCACATATAACAGAAACTCCTAATTTGTTCATTGAAAAACAAATAGTGGTTATGGAAAACAGAATTATCTTCACTATTTATTCAAATACTTGTTGTTCTCCGTTGTTTTGCTGGATCGAATTGTTAGACCTCTATTGGCATATGGGCTCGTATGCGGATACCTTGATATTGCCTGAATGTTAATTATGATAAATTGGTTGGTTGTAGCTAGCAGAAGAATCTAGGACGCTTGTTTCGTCCTATTTGTGACTCAGCTGGATGTACTTGCACCCGAGTGATGTTGTTCCCACTGGGACTCGTACCCTCGTACCCATTGCTTCATCACTGGGGTGCAGGCACATCCAGCTGACGAGTCCCAAATAGGACAAAACGAGCGTCCTGGATTCTCCTGCTAGCCAAAACCAACCAATTTATCGGAATTATCTTTGTTGTCGACTCATTCTCACAGCTATACATTCATTAATAAGTAAAATGATGGGATGTTCCAACAATGTTTCCAGTCAAACAGCAAACCTGATCAATGCGTATATATGGGAAAGGAAATCATGTTACGTAACACAAGATATGATCTCAATGCGTTAAGATCTAGTATCTGATTACGGCCACGGTAAAGCAAGTGCTTGTGCATATTTCTTTTGAGTATACGACTGAGGCTTTAGGCTATGAGATGATATCTTGTACTACGTACAATTACTTCGTTTCAGACATTCACTTAAGGATTAAGTTTGATTTTTGACCAGAAACTTGTCTGAGACATTCTACTATCTTACTAATATATTTAAGGGTGCGCGGCGGTGAAAATGAATCTACGAAAAAGATAATTATCTCTGCTGCAACCTCTTTTCGTTTTCCGCTTGTCTACACTGTTTCAAGGTTACCAGCAACAGTACTAACCTGGAAGCTTTTCAAACCACTTTCATAAATCTCAGGTACAACAATCAGTAGCTGAAACCCAAATCAAGATGCAGTTTTTTTATGTTGAAGTCTTTTTTATTTAGTGGTTAGAAGGTGCTGATGTAGAATGGTGATGTAAGTTTCACGTAGAAATGTAATCATGATCCAAATGAAGGAAATCAGGAGGGCAAAATCCACCACCAACTGAGATGACCGGTGAATATTTGAGTTGAGCTTACTATAGTGATATTAAAATCATTTATATTGTCTCTAACATAAGAATATGACATTAGGTTTGTTCTTCCTTTCGAACAGGTCAAACCAGTAAATATTAAGGCATATGCATCACAGAACGACACAACGTCTAAATAACATGTGTTTTTGTTCGATTTTGTTCCAAAGTCCGATGGGGAAACCGATGGTTACTTTTAGGCTGACGAAAATGCTTACTTACAACGTATCATTAACATTTGTGACGAAATGAAAGTATTTTTGATATATAACACAAACTTTTGATTGGTATTTAGATAAAAACTACTTGTACTGAATCTTCATGACGATTTCATGGGTTATTACAAAATGGCTGTAACAGTACTTACTTTCTTCTTAAAAATCAGTATTGAACTAACATTCAGTTCAACCTCATAGATAATTCGCGAAATGAAAATAACAGAACAATGCTTCAGCAATATAATATATATTTGACAGTAGAAAGTTATATCGTCTATGTATTTAGGTAGACACAGGAAGCGTTAATTGCAGAAATTGACTTGCTGAAAGAAAATTCGAACGAAAATGATTTAATATACGCCTGAGTAGTTAGTTTAGGAAAATATATGAATTCAGAGATGGATTCCTCCATAAGAAAGTTTCAAGTGAAAACCAAGACATATTGGGTGGAACTATGCATCAATTAAGCCGATAATAAAGCCATATCGTCACCAATGACATTGATTAATTCCAGCATTATATCATCACATGAACGAAGAATTTACTTACTCAGTTCTTTCAATAAGATTCGAAGATGACATAAATGAACTAATATCTATCAGCTGATAAGTAGATCTCATTATATATATATATATATATATATATATATATATATATATATATATAGAGAGAGAGAGAGAGAGAGAGAGAGAGATGAATGGGGACTTTTAATTCAGAAGTAGTATTCATCATAGAATAACATCATTTGGGGAACCATTGAAAATCTGTGTGCATTAGACAGATGTTTCGTTCTAGCATGGGACTCCTCAGCAATACGCACCCACGACCTGGTTAGGGATCAGACTCACGACATTCAGGTTTCACGGCGAACGCTTTAACCATTCATCCACTTGGTCGGTTCCTAGTGGTTCACAATTCCCAACCTCAGTCAATTCACGATATAGTGCGACTATCACCCAAGATCTTCAGTCAGCATTCTCTTCACTCACGACTGGTTCACCCCACAGGTCACGGCTTCTCATTAGAACTTCGAGATATCCATCTGGAACCAAGTCACCAATGAGCACTATACAGTAATGTATTTTTGAGATGAATGGGGATTGTAATTTTGAGGTGGTATTTATCGTGAATTGACAAAAGTTAGGAATTGTGAACCACTGGAAGCCGACCCAGTGGCTGAATGGTTGATGAGTTCGCCGTAAAACCTGAATGTCGTGAGTCCGATCCCTAGACGAGTTGTGGGTGCGTACTGCTGAGTCGCATACTAGGACGAAACAGCTGTCCAGTGCTCCCAGATTTTCAATAGTTACCCAACTTGTGTCAGTCCATGGTGAATACTACCCATATATATATATATATATATATATATATATATATATATAACTGGTGAAATAATTCTCAGTGATACGCAAAGCTAAATGAATGTAAGTTCTCATAAATCTGACCAGACTTTGTGAACATTAAGAAAACATGACTTGGTGGCTAAATGGTGAGACTCATTCATGAATCACAAAATCTAATATACTTTTCATCGTTCTATTCCCAAATCATCTTGGATGGCGCTCTTAAATTTCATAAGTAGTGCTGCGGAATAAGCACCCTTTATATGCAGTATTTTACAAAATCAAACTGATCAGTCACTTTAATTTGTCCTAGAACACCGGCGCATCAGTGAATACCTAATTGAAGTTCTTTGAAGATAGCACAGTAATAAGTCTGATGATTAGTGATGAATTTCTCTAGATGACTATAATCTAAAACACATAAATAACTGATTCGTTAGTAGAATACTACCAAGAAAGGAAGTTACTGCTCTGTAAAAATTAACTTTATTCACTAAATAAGCATTTAAGTTTTTCGGTGATGAAGAGGGATAAACAATATTTCCCAAATGTACAGGTTATAACTGAGCGTTTTCATAACCATCCCTCTAGCAGAATTTAGTAGTGTAGAGTTTGTCAGTGATAAAGTTTTCAAAATACTTTGAACGTCTTTGACACGTTGAACAGATGCATTGTTTGGAGAGCAACTTCTTTCAGCTGTATATTCGCTGAGATATGCATAGACAGCTTATGTTGTGCATGATTCTTATTATTTATTGGTTCCAACAAGTATATGTGACTCGATAGAAGTAAGTAAATAAGGTGCGAAAGCAAGATTTAGAATCTTCTGAGTAGACTAATAGTTTGAAAAGTGATGACTTGCATACTTCGTCAGATATAAAACTAAGCTTTAGAATAGTGACGTTTTACAGAGGGATCATGAACAAGCTTCAGTTTACCGACAGAAATTAGAGTCTCAAGCAAGGTCAATAATACAAAATCGGATTGAATAAAATGTTTGTATATACTGTAGTATTTGAATTGAGGGTATAAATCCTCAGACTCAGGTGAATTCGTATCACAGTTCCCCAGTCGCTACTATTAACGCACTGAAGTTTGTAAAGGAGAGCAAGCTTACCGAAGACAACCAACACTACTCAACATCTTGGTTATGTGGAGTTGACGTAGTTTACTGATATGCAACATTATAATGTTTGCTCCAATACTTTACAGAGCGAAAATGATACATTATTCATTTCATAGCTTCTGTTCTTTATTTATTAGGGTAAACAACCATTATTGGGTGGTTCCATACAACTGACAGGAAACTTTACACATAAGTTCCGTGTTCTTAGTACTTGTCAGCACCTTACATTCTTAACCTAAAACGCAAATAACCACCATTCGCATTGAATTTTGTGACACAGAAATTACCTACAATGCTACAAATATATAGCGTCTGTGAATAATACAGCTAATGAAGGAAAATCGCACTAAATCCTACATTTTATGAAAATTATTATTTCTGTAAACCAAAAAACATTTATTTCAGGTTAACGGAGATTTCTTCCTCTTATGAACACATCACACTCAAGAATAATCTGAAAAAGTATCACTAAATTGTTCTCTCTTACCAGACAAGTATCTAATGATTCAGTTCTATTGAAAACGATCATGTACGAGTCTACTATTTGTGAAGCCACATCATAACACTGGAAAAGAGGGAAAGGCAAAATTTTGTATACGGAATTAGAACAGCTGCATCATGCATCAATAAACTATCATTTCCTTACAGAGAATGTTACATATAAATGGTAGCAAATACAAACGACAGTGTGCATAGTAATAAACCTTCAGTATAGCATCGGTCGTCAACATACAAGGAAAGAAACGTTTGAGAATTTTATTCCCTGTACAATCCCGCTACACCTTCTGACGAACTGCTGAATGCAAAGCTTCAATCAGAATGATCTACATGCCTATGTGAATAGTTCCATCACTGGAAAATCAGGTTCGAATATTTTTGTATTATAAGAAATCGATATTCGTTTACCCTTACTGGACTACATTTTCTGCATTTCCAAATACTTTATTAGCCCATGATACAATATTTCTCTAATAAAACGTTAAATCAGTCGAAAAATGTTCCATCATCTTATTTTACATTGATCCAACTTTGCCTTCCATTAATATTTCAAACTGATGATTAGTATGTGAATAAAAACTTTCTAATTTCGTGCATTTCACACTAATTTCAAGACAATATCATATTAAAATCCATTATTGATGTGTCAGAAATAAACCTGCATTTCTTAAATTCAAAATTTCAGAGAAACTTCATCATAGATAAACCTCATTATGTTAGCAGAAAATGTAGTTATCTTAGTATTTTGGCATTTCCTTGAAAATCATGTTTGAAATGTGTGCATAAAGTAAACAGGTGTGATATACTGAAGTATATCAGTCCTTATGGCAATAAGCATGACTGTAATAACAGTAGGCATTGGTTTGCAGTATGAATGTCAAGAGTGATAAACTGTTGAAAGAGAGCACCACAACACAACTATCATCAACAGCTAGAAAAAGGTGAATCAAACTTGCTAAATTCACAAGCAAATACGCTTACCTAATCTCACAGTATAAAACGCAGAGTAAGTACATCAAAACCAACTACAATTCACATGTGTAAAAATTTGGGCATTGTGGTAGAATATAATTCCATATTACATTTGTATATGTAATTTATAACACACAGTGACACAGTTTTATTTACAGGATGATCACCTTTCCAGCATCAATTATCACTGCTCATAATCACATCAATGGAATCACACAATTTCCAATATCCGATTTCGATAGTCCTGACACCTAATCATTCCCTGCTTCTATTGAGAGTAGAATTTGCATATCTCTGGTATATGTGTTGCATCATTCTTATCGAGTGTTAGGTTGGGTATTGATTTGATGGACAAACCTTCAGTAATCACTCAATCACTCACTCACTCTTTCACTCTCACTCTCTCTCCCTCTTTCTACAACTAATTATATTGAAGTTAGTACAGTGGTTTTATCCCACCCAGGCTATTGTGTGTTTCTGTGTTAATGCATGCACTGCATTATCTGAGTGTTTTTGTAAAATATTGATCTTATTCCGATCTGTCATTCTATGTTCTACTGGATTCCTATGTTCTGATATTCTAATTGACACCGACCGACTAGTTCCACCTATGAACTTGACCTCACACTCATTACATTTAATTAGACAAATGATATTATCTTGTCTAATTAGATCTATCGGATCCTCAAGACGAAAAAGCTTATCTCTGAGTGAGTATTTTGGTGTGAATACCACCTTAATTCCAACCTTGCTGAGAATGCTGAGTAAAGTTTCTGATGTTCCCTCCTTATGTGGTTACACAATGGAGGCTCTGAACTCAATTCTACGTGTGTTGTCGCTACTATTCCGATTCGCATTACTGTTATCATTTTGCTTCTCACGTGTTCACACGAATTTCGTAATAAACGATACAGGATAATTATTAAATACTAGTGCCTCTCTTATACATTTGATTTCCTTGTTTAAGTCTGCACAATGACTAGTGAGATGTTTGTAGCTGCGTCATTTTGACATTTCACTGAACCTGATTCAACTGACATTGGTTGAGATGACCTGAAGCCTGGACACTTGACAGAATGTGTTGGTTTCCTGTAGACGGTGGACTGTAGACGGTGGTATTCTGACCACTGTCTGTCTTCTGATCTATTCTGGAATCCTGGTTGGTTAATTCTCCCTATTCATTTTCTAACTCGTGAGTTGGATTGTGTCCACAACTTATTTAATATGTATGAGGAAATTGACGATATGTTCCGATTTCAGCAAGGTGAATACCTCATTTACATATGGCTACCATATCGTAGGTACAAGAATAAGCGTTCCGAAAGTCATCTTCGTCCAACTGCCCACAGTTGTATCTTCGATGAATGATGATAGTAATGATCTCATTACTCCTGCTTCAGCTTGTCCTTATATTTTCTGCTAAAATGTGTTGAATATAGAATGACAGATCTCAATAAGATCAATATTTTACAAAAACACTCAGATAATGCAGTGCATGCATTAACACAGAAACACACAATAGCCTGGGTGGGATAAAACCACTGTACTTAACTTCAATATAATTAGATGTAGAAAGAGGGAGAGAGAGTGAGAAAGAGAGAGAGAGAGTGATTGAGTGATTACTGAAGGTTTGTCCATCAAATCAATACCCAACCTAACACTCGATAAGAATGATGCAACACATATACCAGAGATATGCAAATTCTACTCTCAATAGAAGCAGGGAATGATTAGGTGTCAGGACTATCGAAATCGGATATTGGAAATTGTGTGATTCCATTGATGTGATTATGAGCAGTGATAATTGATGCTGGAAAGGTGATCATCCTGTAAATAAAACTGTGTCACTGTGTGTTATAAATTACATATAAAAAACCTAATATGGAAATAACTTCAGTCAACTAACTAGATGAAACCTAGATCATGGAATACTGAGTAAGCATCACTATGGTGATCTGTTTTATAAAGCAGTGAAAATTATCCTTTCAAAAAGTGATTTCATATAACTCTTTGTCAAGTTACACAAAAAAATAAAATGGTGTTATTTTCAGTTTTGTAGATTTATTCTTAGAACTTTTCAGTTTTTTAATGTACTATTCCCTGTAACATTTAATCTCAACTGAAAATGCAGCCATGGGAAAACATTGATCAGAAACTCTTATTAAGTATAATGTAAGCCAATAATTTCTGTAAAGCTGCAGACTTGGTTTTAGAAGTATTGCAGGTTGATAAACGGAATAAATGGAACCTGATGGGTTGTCACAGTGGTTATTTATCTTTCACATTATCTCATTCATATACACAACTGACTCACCTCCATTTTGTATCCTTCAACTACGGAACACATTTCAGTAACAATACCATGAATTAGTTGGAATACTGAAGGCTTTGTTATGAACTTTTTTGCAAGATTAACTGCTATCATACAAAATGAGCATGTAATTGTGGTTGATGTTTTGAAAGTTTCCACTAAAGAAGAGTGTTTGCTGGATACATTGACAACATTTTCATTGTTCACCTTCTCACATTCCTGTTAGTACAAGAAAACACTACCAAGTCATTGGCATTTCATTAATTTTTACATAATTTGGTAGATATAATGGGAAATATTACTTCATATCATACAAAAGTCTACTTCACTTCAGAAACGGTAAAAAGCTACTATTACAATTTTCTAGGCAGTAGATGGTCACCAAATAGTATCCAAAAAGACCGGAAAATCGTAATATTTGATCAAATTCGTTTACCATACTTTCAATGTAGACTCTGTGATAAACCTAGAGAAGACCATTGTACGTGGTTGCCAACAGTAACGGAATCAAGGTGTGAAAGTACTAGGAGTTTTTGTCACAACTCGTTCTGCATTAGATGTTGAAGTTAAAGAGATAATAATCCCTGAATTTTAGTTTTGTGCTCATTACTACTCATATGTCATCGGGTTTGTTATAGGTTTTAATTATAGTTATCAGATAAATCACGTTATGTGAAATTATTTACCTGGGTACGTTTCATTTGTCATATATATTAGTTAGTGTATATGACGCAGTCTGGCTCCACCTGGCTCAACCACTTCTTATAAGCTTTTATTTATTCTCCACACCATCTACTCCATGTCAACTCCACCTCAGATGCCCAGCTTGTCATTTTCCCCTTTGCATCTCACTCGACGGCATGGTATGGCCTAGCAAGTGATGTCCCCAATCAGTCTTCTCAGTTTGTGACCAATCCAATCCACCTCCACTTTCCTCTTCTGCATATATGTTGGGCTATGGGTTCTTGGTTGGTTCGTTACCAGTCAGCCAGAGCTCCTTGTTCCTTATTTTCACTATTCTGGCCATCCATCTGATCTTCAGTGTCAGTATCGAGTGAACGTAGGTGGCGGCCTGCTTAAACCTTAAGGCTACCAAATGTTTCCATCCTATATACTACATCATACTTATTCTGTTTTAATTTGTTTTAATTGTCTAAATATGACCCTAAGTCATGTCAAGTATTCAGGCAAACTTTTAAAAGTTGTCGATTTACCACCGTGAATTTGACAAAGATAATTAAGCGACGTCATGGCGGATGGCAGTGCACTTTACAGCGAACAAAACTACATCAAATGATGGTACTCGAAATACTCAGCTTGAAATGAAAATCCCTACTTAATAATGTAAGGCATGTCATTTACAATGCCTCCTATATTTCAATATTTGCTTTATTTCTGGTGTAATAACATCATAAGAAAGAAACTTGGTTGTACAACTTATATGATGATAGTTTAGTTTCTTTAAATAGTTTCATGATGTTTCTTCAGGATAGGAGTGGTTTTAAGAACATGTAGTGGAAGTGTAACCACCTTTATCATCACTCACCGGTGTTCATCAAATTATACATATTTCGCCTTGAAAAATGTTATACACTGGGTAAACTGATGCAATATCACATGTTGAAAATTCTGTACTGTAAACATGATTAAGGTTCGGAATTAAGCAATCATATCATATTACACTATATTATTATATATAACCAACCTGGATTACATTTGATGTTGAAATACTATTCATGGCTGAATGTCATTTGTTAGATCACTGAAATATCAATCTACCTGTTATTGTAATGAAAATAAGTATACAACACTGAATATTCATTTGTTTTAAGCGGTGAATAAAAATGTTATCTTCGCCTAAATTTCTAAGGTGAGTGTTAACAATAATAGTTGCAAAGTTTAATTACTATTTTTTAATTAGATTGGTATAGAAACACCATACTTTGAAACTCTAAAGATAGTTATTTTAATCTTCTGAAGTTTAACTTCAACATGGTTCAAAGTATTGGCATTATGTTAAAATAATTTGTAGTACCTTGTGACTTAGTTAATAATTTCTTATAACCACAAAGTCCCATTTTTTTTAACTTAAACACTTTTTTTATTTCAACGACATCCTATAAAATGTATAGACAAAAATACCAAATCAGATCAATTCACGCAAGTAAACAAAGTCAATGAAAAGTCTAAAAATACACAGCATGGATAAAAACACTGTAATCTAAGTGTTTTTATCTAGTTTGAGTAACTTTGGGTAGCAATGTAACAATTTATTTCTTATAAATACAGATTCTTTGACCAGAAATGTTTCTTACTGTGTTCTTGGTAAGAAAAAGATGAAAATAAACCATGGTGAATAAAAATATCCTCATTTTCTGTAACAATATTGACTTTATCGTTGAAAAATAAAATCTGTACTGACAGAGCAGTTGACATCCTAATTACATCAAGAACATGATAAAACTAGCGCCATATCAGTTAGGTAATGTTATAGGTATTTAAGTGGCAAGTAAAGCACGAATAATATCTCTACGAGTTAACCAAGTGTCACATGCACACAAATACTCAACAGTCGCATTAAATGAAGGTTGTGCTATATTGAGAAATCACAGCATTTGGAACAAGTGAAGTACTGGATCCCCAGACGTTAGCTCCATGGTATCGCACTGCCATGAGTTTGATTTCTGATGAAGTCATGGGCACGTTCCACTAGGGAGTCCCTCTCTGGGATGAAACAGCTGTTAAGTACTCTAAGGTTTTCAATTGTTCTCCAAATTATGTCAGTCTGTGATGAATATCAACTTGAAATCAATATAATCCCCACAAACCTCTAAGTTGAAAGTATATAATTCTTTAAAGTTACTTCCTAAAGAATGCTCATATGGATATCACAAAGTCGAATAAACTTGATGGCACCATTTATATGAATATAAGTTATTATATGTAGGTTATTATCGTTATAAATACTTAATTTTTGGTATTTCATAAATTGCTGGATTAAAATGACAGATAACTAATGAATTGGCTAAAAAATGATTGAGGAAACGGAGAACCTTGATTTCTCAAAACAACAATGAAGTGCTTCATTATGTAGGAGGTGTATAACCTAATATGTCAAAGTAAACTGGGAGCTCATTATTATTATTATATTATTTTCTCTTGGGTACCTAGTGGAATATACGGCTTCAATAGAACGCCTCCATTCCACTCTCTTCTCTTCAGTCTGCTCAACCTTGCTCCACGACTAACCACAAGCTTCATTTATTCCCCACATCATCTACTCCATGTCACCCTCAGCTGGGAAGCCCAACTCGTCGTTTCCCCTTTGCACTCCCCTCAACGGCATAGCCTGGCCTGGTGCATGATGTCCCTAATCAGCCTTCTCAGTGTATGCCCAATCCAATCCACCTCCACATTCTTCTTCTACATATTTGCTGAGCTATGGGTTCTTGGCTGGTTCTTTCGTTGGCAGGCCAGAGTTCCTTGTTGCTTAGCCTGAGTAATTTATCGTAGCATAAAGTAACAGAATATTTAATAAATCTATTGTAACCAACTGAAAATGAAGGTTTAAGTGATGTGTCATAGAGATTGAATCTATTAAATATACATTTGTCGTCCAATAAGTTTCCAAACTTTTTTTATTTTTCATTTCCATTAGTGAATAATAAAAGCAGTCTGTTAACAAGTAGATATTATAGTGAATTAGATTAATAGGGAAAACGATTTAACCATCAGAATGCAACAATATTAAAATCATTCCACTCAGTTATATGAACTGTTATGTGTGTCGGTAATATTTGTAGTTAGTATGGCAGTTTGATTTTGTTTCACACATCTTTGATATATGCACCTTTACTAAATGTTTTGCAGGTAACAACCTGTTACAACGTCATCAGGTGATATATATGTCGATGCTTGAAATCAGCATTCAAAGTCGCTCAGCGTTTCATAAGTAGATAGAGGCAGCAAAACGACAAACAGTTTATTATGAAATCTATACATGCAATAAAATGTAATGGTGTACACACATGTTTTCAGATACCTGATTATTTTCCAAACGGATGCTTTCTATTGCTCTAGTTTAAGTATCAAATATGTAGCTCATATATATGAATAAGTAGCTTTTTGCTAATCACTGGGATTTATGATTAGTTGAGAAAAGCTTTTTCAAGGGATTTCAAACTTCCTTGAAGGATCTAGGACACAATGCTTCACGCCAAAACAACTTCCTAAAGAATCAACTTTGCTCCCTGTTACACAACAGATAGACCTGCTCGCAAAATAACTACCAGCTTTTGAATATATTCTAACGGAATTCTGTTTATTTTTTATCCAGTTACAACGGCTGATGTATACAAAATTAGGCAAAAAGCTTTAATTTTAACCGTTGAGATGTGACATTATGATATCCACTTGAAAGCTCAGTGTGGTGGTAGTTGTCTTCTGAGTGACAATATCAGAGTAGATTACTGACTCCTCTCCAGTTAAAAATTTGGGGAGTCCACTTCATTCCATCTGATTTCTCAGATTCCTAGCACTTCTATGCCATACCTCCTCAACTCTTTTGCAATCTGGTTAGCCTCGCAAAACTCATGCATGGTGCAGACATTCCATGTCCTCATCCTTATATTTGATTTCATCAAGAGAACATCTATCAACGAATTAGCTATTTTAAGGCTTTCACCAACCAGCTTCATTTCATCTCTCCGATTCCAGCCACGAAGAAGTTTATGTTAAATATTTTCTTAGTACTTTGAAGTTTGTTTAGCGGTTGGATGGTTTTCCAAGGTGAGGTTGGCAGCCATATATCCAAACTTCCTTATTTATCCAAGCTGATGACCGGCTAGAAGCTAGTGAATTAGTTAAACAGGTGAGGCTGAATGAGGTATTCACCGTGCAGAAGTCGGAACATATCATCAATTTCCTCATACATATTAAATAAGTTGTGGACACAATCCAACTCACGAGTTAGAAAATGAATAGGGAGAATTAACCAACCAGGATTCCAGAATAAATCAGAAGACAGACAGTGGTCAGTATACCACCGTCTACAGTCCACCGTCTACAGGAAACCAACACATTCTGTCAAGTGTCCAGGCTTCAGGTCATCTCAACCAATGTCAGTTGAATCAGGTTCAGTGAAATGTCAAAATGACGCAGCTACAAACATCTCACTAGTCATTGTGCAGACTTAAACAAGGAAATCAAATGTATAAGAGAGGCACTAGTATTTAATAATTATCCTGTATCGTTTATTACGAAATTCGTGTGAACACGTGAGAAGCAAAATGATAACAGTAATGCGAATCGGAATAGTAGCGACAACACACGTAGAATTGAGTTCAGAGCCTCCATTGTGTAACCACATAAGGAGGGAACATCAGAAACTTTACTCAGCATTCTCAGCAAGGTTGGAATTAAGGTGGTATTCACACCAAAATACTCACTCAGAGATAAGCTTTTTCGTCTTGAGGATCCGATAGATCTAATTAGACAAGATAATATCATTTGTCTAATTAAATGTAATGAGTGTGAGGTCAAGTTCATAGGTGGAACTAGTCGGTCGGTGTCAATTAGAATATCAGAACATAGGAATCCAGTAGAACATAGAATGACAGATCGGAATAAGATCAATATTTTACAAAAACACTCAGATAATGCAGTGCATGCATTAACACAGAAACACACAATAGCCTGGGTGGGATAAAACCACTGTACTAACTTCAATATAATTAGTTGTAGAAAGAGGGAGAGAGAGTGAGAGTGAAAGAGTGAGTGAGTGATTGAGTGATTACTGAAGGTTTGTCCATCAAATCAATACCCAACCTAACACTCGATAAGAATGATGCAACACATATACCAGAGATATGCAAATTCTACTCTCAATAGAAGCAGGGAATGATTAGGTGTCAGGACTATCGAAATCGGATATTGGAAATTGTGTGATTCCATTGATGTGATTATGAGCAGTGATAATTGATGCTGGAAAGGTGATCATCCTGTAAATAAAACTGTGTCACTGTGTGTTATAAATTACATATACAAATGTAATATGGAATTATATTCTACCACAATGCCCAAATTTTTACACATGTGAATTGTAGTTGGTTTTGATGTACTTACTCTGCGTTTTATACTGTGAGATTAGGTAAGCGTATTTGCTTGTGAATTTAGCAAGTTTGATTCACCTTTTTCTAGCTGTTGATGATAGTTGTGTTGTGGTGCTCTCTTTCAACAGTTTATCACTCTTGACATTCATACTGCAAACCAATGCCTACTGTTATTACAGTCATGCTTATTGCCATAAGGACTGATATACTTCAGTATATCACACCTGTTTACTTTATGCACACATTTCAAACATGATTTTCAAGGAAATGCCAAAATACTAAGATAACTACATTTTCTGCTAACATAATGAGGTTTATCTATGATGAAGTTTCTCTGAAATTTTGAATTTAAGAAATGCAGGTTTATTTCTGACACATCAATAATGGATTTTAATATGATATTGTCTTGAAATTAGTGTGAAATGCACGAAATTAGAAAGTTTTTATTCACATACTAATCATCAGTTTGAAATATTAATGGAAGGCAAAGTTGGATCAATGTAAAATAAGATGATGGAACATTTTTCGACTGATTTAACGTTTTATTAGAGAAATATTGTATCATGGGCTAATAAAGTATTTGGAAATGCAGAAAATGTAGTCCAGTAAGGGTAAACGAATATCGATTTCTTATAATACAAAAATATTCGAACCTGATTTTCCAGTGATGGAACTATTCACATAGGCATGTAGATCATTCTGATTGAAGCTTTGCATTCAGCAGTTCGTCAGAAGGTGTAGCGGGATTGTACAGGGAATAAAATTCTCAAACGTTTCTTTCCTTGTATGTTGACGACCGATGCTATACTGAAGGTTTATTACTATGCACACTGTCGTTTGTATTTGCTACCATTTATATGTAACATTCTCTGTAAGGAAATGATAGTTTATTGATGCATGATGCAGCTGTTCTAATTCCGTATACAAAATTT